TATTTTGGATATTAACCCCTTATCAGATGTATCATTAGCGAATATCTTCTCCCAAACAGTCGGTTGTCTTTTTGTTTTGTTGATGATTTCTTTTGCTGTACAAAAACTTTTTAGTTTGATATAGTCCCATTTGTTTATTTTTTCTTTTGTTTTCCTTGCCCGAGGAGATATATTTGAAAAGAACTTTCTCTTAGTAATATCAGAGAGTTTACTGCCTATGATTTCTTCTAGAAGTTTTATGGTTTGGTGTCTTACATTTAAGTCTTTAATCCATTTTGAGTATATTCTTGTATATGATGTAAGAAGGTGGTCCAGCTTCTTTCTTTTGCGTGTATCTGTCCAGTTTTCCAACACCATTTCTTGAAGAGACTGTCTTTCCCGCATTGTATGTTCTTGCCTCTTTTGTTATATATTAAGTGAGCATATAGGTGTAGATTTATTTCTGGGCCCTCTATTCTGTTCCACTGATCAATGTATCCATTTTTATGCCAGTATCATGCTGTTTTGATTACTGTAGCCTTGTAGTATAGTTTGATATCAGGTAGTGTGATACCTCCAACTTTGTTCTTCTTTCTCAAGATTGCTGTGGCTATTCAAGTTTTTTTTTTTTATGGCTCCATATAAATTTTAGGATTATCTATTCTATCTCTCTGAAAAATGCCATTGGTATTTGATAGGGATTGCATTTAATCTATAGATTGCTTTGGGTAGTATGGCCATTTTAATGATGTTGATTATTCCTACCCATGAACACATTATACACTTCCATTTATTTGTATCTTCTTCAATTTCTTTTTCAATGGCACAATTTTCTGAGAACAAGTCTTTTCCTTCCTTGGTTAATTTGATTCTCAGGTATTTTATATTTTCAATGCAATTGTAAATGGGATTTCTCTTTCTGAAAGTTCATCCTTGATGTATAAAAATGCCACTGACTTCTGAATATTTATTTTGTAACCTGTTACTTTACTGAATTCATTGATTAGTTCTAACAGTTTTTTGGTGGAATTTTTAGGATTCTCTATATATAGTATCATGCCATCGGCAAATAGCAAGTTTTACTTCTTTTCCAATTCAGATGCCTTTTATTTCTCTTTCTTGTCTTATTGCTGTGGCTAAAACTTCCAATATAATGTTGAAGAGGAGTGGTGAAAGCGAGCATCCTTGTCTTGTTCCTGATCTTAAGGAAAATGCTTTTAGCCTTTCCCCATTAAGTATGACGTTAGCTGTAGGTTTATCATATATGGCCTTTCTTATGTTGAGATATGTTCTCTCTATTCCCACTTGGCTGAGAGTTTTTATCATAAATAGATGCTAGATTTTGTTGAATGCTTTTTCTTCATCTGTTGATACGATCTTTCGATTTGTTAATGTGGTGTTTCACATTAGTTGATTTGCAGATATTGTACCAACCTTGCATCTCAGGAATAAATCCAGCTTGATCATGGTGTATAATATTTTTAATGTATTGCTGAATTTGGCATGCTAATATTTTATTGAGGGTTTTTGCATCAATGATCATAAGAGATATCTGCCTATAGTTTTCTTTTTTTGTAATGTCTTTGTCTGGTTTTGGAATAAAGGTAATGGTGGCCTCATAAAAGGAGTTAGGGAGCCTTCCCTCTTGAGTTTTTTAGAATAGTTTGAGAAGAGATGATAATTCTTCTTTGAATATTTGGTAAAATTCGCCTATGAAGCCATCTTGTCCAGGACTTTTGTGTTTTGGGGAGGTTTTTGATTACTGATTCTATTTCATTGGTGGTAATTGGTAGGTTCAGATCTTCTGTTTCTTCTTGACTCAGTCTTGGGAGATTGTATGTTTCTAGGAATGTGTCCATTTCTTCCAGATTGTCCAATTTGTTGGCATATAATTGCTTGTAGAACTTTCTTATGATCCGTTGTATTTCTGTGGAGTCCATGGTTATTTCTCCTCTTTCATTTCTGATTTTATTTATTTGAGTCCTCTCTCTTTTTCCTTTGAGGAGTCTGGCTAAAGGTCTGTCAATTTCGTTTATCCTTTCAAAAAAACCATCTCTTGTTTACATTAATCTTTTGTATTGCTTTTCTAGACTCTATTTCATTTATTTCTGCTTTGATATTTATTATTTCTGTCCTTCTATTCACTTTGGGCTTTGTTTGCTGTTCCTTTTCTAGTTCTTTTAAGTGTAAGGTTAGATCGTTTATTTGAGCTTTTTCTTGTTTCTTGATGTAGGCTTGTATTGCTATAAATTTCTCTCTTAGGACTGCTTTTGCTGTGTTCCATAAATTTTGAGTCGTGTTTTCATTTTCATTTGTCTCGAGGTACCTTTTGATTCCTTCCTCGATCTCATTAATAACCCATTCATTGTTTAGTAACATGTTATTTAGCTTCCATGTGTTTGTGTATTTTCCAGTTTTTTTTTTCTGGTTGATGTCTGGTTTCATACCATTGAGATCAGAGAAGATGGTTGACATGATTTCAATCTTCTTAAATTTATTGAGACTTGTTTTGTGTCCTAACTTGTGGTCTATCCTGGAAAATGTTCCACGTGCACTTGATAAGAATGTATATTTTGCTGCTTTGGGGTAAAATGTTTTGAAAATATCTATTAAATCCATCTTGTCTAGTGTGTCTTTTAGGCCAATTGTTTCCTTGTTGATTCTTTGCCTGGAAGATCTGTCCACTGGTGTCAATGAGATGTTAAAGTCTCCTACTATGAGTATATTACTGTTGATCTCTCCTTTTATGTCAGTCAATAATTGCTTTATGTATATAGGTGCTCCTATGTTGAGTGTGTAGTATATGTTTATTAGGGTTATGTCTTCTTTATTTATTGATCCCTTTATTATTATATAATGCCCTTTTTTGTCTCTTATTATTGCCTTTGTTTTAAAGTCTATTTTATCTGATAAATGTCGCTACCCTGGCTTTTTTTTTCATTTCCATTTGCTTGAAGTATC